ACCAGAACAATATGTTACATGTGGCAGGGGAGAGAGCTCCTGACTTTCAACTTGTCCAAATATCCAGCCCAGCATTGCAGATGCAAAGAGAACTACAATGGTATAAGGTTATTATCTCACTTGCTCACTCAACTATAGCATTTTAAAATTATTATTATTAATTATTTTAATTTATATTTATACATGAAATGTGCTTGATTCTCTCAAAAATTTATTTATAATAGGTAAATATCAATTTTGGTCTCTCAACTTTGAGTTTTTGCATAGTTTTAGTTTTTTAATTTTTTATGTACCTTTTTTGTTTTTTAACTATAAAAATACATTTTTTTAGTTCTTCGATCAATTAGTTCATAAAGTTTGTTTATATTCACATATTTTTAGTTCATAAACTTTTAAATTGAAGGATAAAAATTATGTAAAATCTTAAAATTAAAGGATTAAAAATGTGCATACATAGACAAACTTAATGAACTAATTGATAAGGATAAACTTAATGAACTAACTGATGAAATGATTAAAAAATATATTTTTTATAGTTAAGGGACCAAAGTGCATAAAAAAGTTGAGGGACCAAAGTGTATAAAAAAGTTGAAAAACCAAAACTATGTAAAATCATAAAGTTGAGGGTGCAAATTGACCTTTTAACTTATATGGTAAGTGTAACTTATTTCTTTATTTCAAAAATGAAACCTAATTTATTGTTTTAAACATTAATGTGTACTTTTGTTAACCGAATGCAGGAGGTGGAAAGCATTGTCCCAGAATGGTGCAAAGAAGCTAAAAATCGCCATGGTGACACCCCTTATGAAGTACTTTCAAACAGCCACAAGGAATTAGTGAAAGAGGGGGCCGAATGGATGAAGAAAACATCAGAATCTTTTACTGTTGTCGGTGCTCTCATCGTTACGATCTTGTTTGCTGCAGCTTTTACTCTTCCAGGGGGCAACGATCAGAATACCGGGTTTCCCATGTTTTTACGAAAAAGATCGTTTATGATATTTATAATATCTGATGCAGTTTCCTTCTTCGCTGCATCAACTTCAGTTCTAATGTTTTTGGGAATCCTCACATCGCGCTTCGCCCAAGAAGATTTTCTTGAGTCCTTACCCAGGAAGTTGATCATTGGCCTCTCCACTCTTTTTATTTCTATTGCAGCAATGATGGTTAGCTTTTCTGCTGCTCTTTTGATTACACTTCAAGATCAATGGTGGGCAATCATTCCCATAATTATGATGGCTAGCATTCCAGTTGCACTTTTTGTATGGTTGCAGTTTCCCCTCCTCGTTGAAATCTTTGTTTCGACATATGCTCCACGAATTTTTAACAGAAAAATGAAGCCTTGGCTATAGTGGAGAGCAAGTTAATTGATGTTTTTGGAACGTAAGTGAGCAGTTTCCCCTCCAAGTTGAAATTCTTTAGCTTGTTCTTTGGTTATGTTTGTTTGAACTACTAATTTCCCTGTTTTATTTGGTTGGATTATCAGATTTCTTGCTTTTATTTATGAGACCGTGGTTCATGTACCTTCTCTGTGTAAAAACAATATTAGTCATTGGTTATATTTTTAGATTTCTTGCTTTATTCCTAGCATATAAATGATTGATGTCTTGAAACTGGAAAAGTGGGAGCTCATTTAAGATAATTATGCATTACAAATACTAGAAAGACAAGGTTCCTACTTAGGGGTAACGGTTTCTGTTAAAATAGCTGTTGATGCTTTTCGGGGATGGAGGAAAATTTTGAAGTTAAAGATAACTAGTTAGGAAGCTCATTCAACATATACCAGATGATGGCCAAGACATATATATTTGGCATGACAACTGGCATCCTTCTTGCCCTTTATTAGAGGTGTATGGCAACTCTATTGTTCAAGATGCAAGGTTGCCTTCCCAAGCAAATTGGCTAGAGTAATCAATGATGGTTTTTGGCAATAGCCCCCTACAAGATGTCCCCAACTAGTACAAATCCAAATGCACTTGTTTGATTTCCACCCAAGGGAAGGAGAGAAAGACTTAGTAGTATGGTTACCTTCCTCTTCTGGCTCTCTCAAAACTGGACAAACCTGGCATTGGTTAAGGAGTAAACAAGTCAAGAAGATATGATATAAGCTGGTCTGGTTCTCTTAGGCCATCCCTAAGCACAGTTTCATAAGTTGGTTAGCTATTCTTAACAGATTGAGCACAAGGGCTAGGCAAAGAAAATGGCCTCCTACTATCTCTGATATATGCATCCTATGCAACAACAATTTTGAGACGGATATGAGCACTTATTTTTTAAATGCAATTATGCAAGAACAGTATGGCAACAACTCAACAGTATGCTTGGCATCCCTTTCACTGATTCTTAGAGTGGTTTGCTAAGTTGGATGGGGAAGAAGGTTAGAAGGAAATCCTTATATTGTGTTTGGATCAAATTAGCCTAGAATGCTGCAATTTATCATATCTGAATGGAAAGGAACAAAAGAATTCACCAAAAAAAATTTAGGACTTAGAGTGCTATTGTCCATGAAGTTCAATCTGATGTTAGGTGCAAGAACCTAAGTTTTGCTCGGCCAACATCCTCCCGTTTGCCCATGGACATTGCGTATCAATGGGGGCTTGAGATAGTGGTGCAAGGCTAATTTTGTAGAGAAGTCACACGTATCTGTATATTTAGACAATTTTGCAAGTGCTCATTCTTTTGCAGCACCTTCCGGCTTTATTGTATTGCATTCTTAGTTAATTGGGGTAAATAAAATTCACATTTTATCCAAAAAAAAAAAAAAGAAAACGTTTTTTTTTTTTTTTTTATTGCCTCTAGGAAAACCAGGTTATCGAAATGGTATGATCATAAGATGACATGAAATAAACAAATTACATGTTCTTGTTATATCTAAATTTCTTTTTTTTAGCACATCAAAGGGTTAGTTACTTAGCAACATAAAAATTTGGGTATATAATTTTGATCCTAAATTAAGATTTTAAATTAATGAATACTAATTCAATCAAACTCTTATTGGTATTGGTATATCTAAAATAATTCTAAAGAAACAGTCTGTAATTGAACTACCATTTTTCATGAGGATACCAACCCAAAATAGCCCCTACCAATTTTTTACTTATCTATATTTTCTTCCACAATTCGTGAATTCATATCTTACCTCTGGCCCACACATGGATGCCCAACTTTATCTGCCTCAGCATCAACAACTAGCTTCATTATAGTCTTTTCTGGCCGTTTGGAGAGAAACATAAGAGGCACAATTAAATTCGAGGGAAACAAAATCAAATATACGAGTTGGACATCCGCTGATCCTAAGAAATAAAGAATATAATCCATTAATAATATATTGAGTGCAGAATTACCAGTACTCCTATTTTATATATATGGCATTCTGCAGTTGAAATTTGAAAAAGATTATCAACCTTAAAGCTAAATAGCAACAAGTGAAAAGGTGCATATTATTTATTTATTTATAAGTCCATAAGTTTCTGCTCAATCAGTTCATGTGTGATTTCCTTAGTTAACAACACTGTAAGTCATTCATGATATTATAAATTTATCTAGAGTATGTTTGAGTTTTGGAAATCTAAAGAGAAATAAAGAACTAACTGAATTTTTTATTAGATTAAAATGTTGTGCTTACTATTGGTTTGGAGTCCAAATTTAAAGTGAAACCCATTGTTTTACTATCTTCATTAATATACTCTTATGTATACAAAATCATACTGGTGAAATTCAAACGAGAGAAAAATTAGTCATTTCTAGTATTTTATTTCTCTCCTCTTTCGCTTTCACATTTCAACATCCAAAGACAACGTCAGCAAAATAAAAATCTTAAATCACCATTACATAGCTAGATACCGTAAAACAACAAATCATTTAAGATTGTTAAATGCATCAAAAATTAATAACAATATGACATTTAATACAGAGAAATAAAGGAGCTCCAGACAGAATACAAAATGTAAAGCAGGTTCCGTCCGTTAATGCTACAGGTGTAAGATTCATTCGATTTGTAACATCACCAACTGCCCATATACTGGGCATGTTGGTGCATGAGTAGTCATCCACCTGCAAAACAAAGGGAGAATCAATCTCAATGATGCAGTCATCTCCTATGTTGTATAAAATCTTTCGATAAAGGTTTGCAATTTTAACTTGATCATGCCATCAGATCCAACCTTTCATAAAACAAAAGGTAAAAACCATCACTAATAACAAGACAAAGGCCTGCAAAAAATTTGAGCCTAAAGTCGTTTTATAGCCTCGACATTTTTTTTTTAAAAGAATAAGAGAGAATCATATTAGGTTTCCATGTCCCTATACAGAAACAATCATAGTTATAAACATTTTGAAGGAAACAAGGAAGAATAAGAATATCAAAACTCATTCTGTTTGTAAAATTTAATAAATGAAATAAAAAAATTTAAACAGCATCATTTACAGACGATGAAGTGAGTTTATGTCCACCCATTTCCTCAGGGAATGAACAGAAAGTTCAACAAGAAACAAATAAACAGTCAGTAACCTTAATAGCTCCTGTTTGATCAAGTTCAACCCCCACCCCCACAGCTCCCAAATTGAACCTCTTTTCATTTGAAATCCTGCCTTTAAATAAGGTGAAACATTTATAACATGGACATGCCAAACATATAGTACACAAAAATGCATGGCTTCTCATGCATTACTATCAAATGCAACAGCATAATAAAACAATCTTAAATGGATGAACTGAATGACATGGACAACTAAAAAGAAAAGAGAATTGCTCGGGAACAAGAAAAGGGGATGGTAATTACCAGTGGCAAAGCACAATACATCTGCCACCAACTCTTCACCATGATCAGTCATAACTTTAATGCCACCCTCTGTTTTAATCAACTGAATTCATACATATTACGTCTAGTATAAGTTTGTGTAAATAAATAAACAGAAGATGAGAAAAGTTGCAAACTTAGATATCGCAGGGAAGTAAAAAAGCAAGACAATTAAATAAGGTACCTCTGACAGATTTGTCCTTAAATGCAGATTAATACCCCTTCTTTCCAAATTTCTTGCAACCACTGCCCTCATTTCATCATCAAATCCTCTGTGGCACACAAAAGACATATCAATGGAAGCTAATCTTGTGATCCTTCTACATATGTTCTACATCAATGGAATCTAAGCTTCTGATGCTTTTACATATGTTCTTCAGCCTCATATCATTATCTAGTAACAGTCTAGGTAACCATTATCTATATCCTTGCAGCCACTAAGTAACATCTCCAACTACAAATTTGTTATGATATGCCAGTACAAACAAAACAGAACCTACAAAGTATCAGAACAAGTTTTTCAAACTTTGGGTAAAAACCTCTAAACAACTTTCCTAATGAGAATAAACTATAAGGCCCAAAATCTGGTAACTAGTAGATATCAGAGACCCAAGGCAGTTAGATATGACAAGGTCAAGCTTGAATAACAACCTCAATGGAAGTTCCTTCCTGAAAAGGAAGTAGCACCCATTCCTTTCCATCTTGAAGCAAACTCCACAGCAATGTACCTAGATAATAGTTATCAAATGAATAATGAACATGCTCAGCAGACTAAGAATACACCGGACAGACTAGGAACCGGGCTGCACCCCCTCCAAGCACAATGGCACGCTTAGGTAACTCTTCTAAGCTTAATGCCTCATCAGATGTTATACCCAACTCCTAAAACATCAAAGATGAAGATATCAAGAAACATGGAAAGAAGAAAAAAACAGCATTATCACATTTGAGAACACATTGGATCTAGTTTAGTTTGACCATTCATATGATTAAGTTTAATTTCCAATTTCCAACAGTAGTTGCAATAACAATGAAAGAAGCCACAAATAGACTAACTCAAGTGCATCCAAGTAAAGAAACTTTAGAAGCATCACTTAGGCAGCATAATTAAAACTAGAATTTAGAGAGCATGGTTAAGTCTGATTGCAAGCTTGAAAAAAGCAATGGAGATATTGTAAAGTTCAATAGATGTTTTTCTCTCACTTCAAAAGAAAATTGCACTTCCATGCAATCAAAATATAGCAAAGCCAAATTACATATAACCCAAGTTTACAAGTGCAGCAAGCAATCACATTGAAAGTAAAAGAAATATCTACCTTCCCAGGAATATCAGGACAATGGGCCCTGTTGCCAGTTGCAATCAATATGTGCTTTGCTGAATAGAACAATTTAGTTCCATCTGGTTGTGTCACCTCAACTTCATTTGGACCAACAACCTTTCCCTCCCCTTCGGACAATTTAACCCCAGCATTTGACAATAGGCATTTGTAAATACCATTTAATGTGATTATTTCATCTGTCTGTAATTTAAAATGGAATGTTAGGGCAGATCATAAAGCAACAAGAGAAAAATGACCAACAAAAAGGAATCATGATGTAAACAGTCAAGTGAAAACTTTTAGAAAGAAGAAAGCAAAAAAGGTATTTAACTAAAGTTTCCAAAGATACAAAAAAATATTCATTGTAGAAGATTAAAAAAAAAGGTTAACAATTATTGCAGGAAATTGTTGTTCACATACAAATTTAGACAATGTAAGCTACATGCCAAAAATTTGATATTTATCTGGAGATTCTTGTGATTTGAATCATGGTAAACCAGATAAGCACTGCACAACTGATGAACCAGAAAATGATCCCCATAAATTTCACAAAATTCTAAATGGCCAAACTTCAAGGCCTATAAGATTTAATGGCTCATAACCAAAGGCTAAAAAGAACCGTTTTGACATTTTCCAAGCCCTTCGATGTTATCTGAGTATGTCATCAGTTGTATTAAGCATTTAAAAGAGAATCTGAACTGCTTCAATCAATATTATTCCACTGCACCTTTCAAAATTTATTAGAGGAAAATTTGAAAACCATATATCCTCAATTATATGGAAAGGGAAAAAATAATAAAAAAAAATAAAGAAAACAAAAAGTACCAACCTTTTTCTGTAGAAGCTTTTTCCAGTTTAATTCAACTTTCTCGTTCACCTTCCATCCATAATTTCTGGCATCCTACAAAACAAACATCATATACAATGAATTCATCATAACACCCAATAAGAATGTTTAGATGAACCATTCAAGTACCATGCCATCCAGAAACTACCAATTGCTTAGCCGTGAAACACAACAAAGAAATATACTCAAAAGAAAATACAAGTACACAACACAATAGAAGACCAACCAAAATCAAAATTTGTAAGTATATTCCATGACGTATTTTTAATAAAAAAAATCCTGCATCAGTCCAATTGTGAATCTCTGTCATTACATAATGAAATTTATATTACATTTAACCAGGTGGTAATGAAATCAAACAGATATAATGAAAACTCCAACTTGGGCAAAGATAACTGAGATTATGGATGGCTTTCCTTTCTAAAGATAAAACTTGGGGAAAAGAAAGGATCAAGCTCTAGGCCAGGCTAAATCAAAGGCTGAGCAAAAAATCATATTTTTGGGGGGGCCACTTGTGGTGTGAGATCGAATATTATTTCCTATTTGACAGAGCATAGCTGAAATAAAAATAGTTTAATGAAGAACCTTAACAGTTTTCTTAGAACAGACAGAAATCTGAATGCATATGAAAGCAAGACAACTGTGTAGAGCCAACTGCCCCATGCATGAATATAAAATGGAACTCCACATGTATCAAGCAAAAAGTAAAACTTCCTAATAATTTCAGCTTCTACTGCTTTGATTATCAGAGAAACACAATTGAATCATAGAACTCATTAATTTTCTACTGTTGTATAAATTAATAGAGTTGATGTTTTCAAGTGCTCAATAGAGAAACTCTAGGATTTACTATAGAAAATTTTCAAACGCTTATGTACTTGCAACTTTAGAAAGTAAAAATACAAACTATGGATTGGATAATTTTCTCTAATGTGTAATTGCAAAATCAGGAAATCTATCAGATTTAATTCTGAAAAAGATTACCATCTCACCTTCACCTCCAAAAGCTGCTCCATACACCAAAATCTTTTCGGGAACACAACCACCAATAACACATCTGGAGAACCAAAAATATGAGATTTCACACCTATAAGCTATTTTTTTCTCTACAACATTAACTATCAAATTTTGATCACTAATAAAGAAATCTCTACACACCCAGATGTGCTCCACCACTACTCTAACACTACATTAGTTAGAATAATAATTTACTTACGGTCCACCAACTCCCACAATCACTTCTGAGCTGATTGGATGAAATGGAAGCTCACAGATCCCAACCTTGAACATCATATTTAAAAGAAAATGAATAATTTATAAATCGGAAAGTAGCAGATGAGCATCCAGAACTCAACAATTTTAAGCAGTACCAATGGTCTAGATGCTGCAGCATACCTTAGCTCCAAAATTTGCTGAAAGTCTGGCAGCACGAACGCCACCACTTCCGGTTCCAATCACAAATAAGTCGAAGTCATAATGAGAGTCTCCTTCGTTTCGTATCTTCCTCGCCATGGTTATAGATCAGTGAACAACTGAAAACACAAATTATCAAAAAAAAAAAAAAAAAATCTTTAGCAGCTTCGAAATTGGAAAAATTAAATTGGCTGGTATCGTGAAACTAAATGGAAAACTTTCCCGAGAACCAAACAGAAAGTAAGAAAGAGGAGGATACCTGAAAGTTGGAGATTGGGGATGGAAAAGAGGTCGGACTAAGGCTTTAGTAGATCAACAGCAACAGAGAATGAAAAAGAGCTGCGCCACAGTAGAGATTTGAAAATTAATATTTATTGCTCTATTTTTTATCTTTTTATTATTATTACATTTACACCGCCAGCCTTTCGAAGGAAGACCGGAAATGGCGTTTTGGTGCTCCCGCCTGCTCGTACTCGCCTCCCTGTTGTACTTCCTTTTTTTTTTACATCGGGCAATGATTTCCTCGTACTTTACTTTTTTATATTTGATAATAATATGTTCTATAAAAAATAA